ATGATGTAGCACTACAAGGAAAGAACACTTTGCATTGTTGTTAATCATGATGCCTACAAGACAGTGTAGGCTCAACACGAAAGATTCAAGTCAGTTGAAGTTCCTTAAAGCTTATAATACATAATATCCCAATTTAAAGGACAACAAAAATTTAATGTTATAATGGTTAACCTACAATTATTTAAACTATATGAGAAAGATTAAATTTTAGGGGACTAAAATATAATAGAGTTAGTACTTGATTAGAAAGAGGACAAGTGTCAGATTTGGAGGAAGCACTTAATTAGTAAGTGGACAAGTGTCACAATTAGAGAACTTGATTAGTATGGTGGACAAGTGTTCATTTAAGTAATTAGATATAAGATTCTTGCCCTCACCACATGAACGAAATGGTGCTTAAGGATCCTTCCACCTTTTCTAGCATTAAATAGTATCAACGCCATTAGCTAGAAGTAGAAAAATAAAAAGAAGAAAGAAAAAGATAGGAAAAAAGAGGAAAAAGTGATAGGAATTTGTGAGGTTAGTAGGAAAATTAAAGAGAATTTGTGAAGCTTGGTGGAGAATCAGGTGGTGTAGTTGCCACCAAATTTGTTTGTGGTACCTTGAGTTGCAATCTATCGGTTTCAATTGAGAATTGGGTAGGTGGATTAACTCATAAAATGCTTTCTACTTGAAACTTTTTGCAAACAGTATTTCATTGTTATTGTCTGACACTTGTATACCAAGTGTTTGGTATATTGTTATTTGTGACATATCTATTGATTTTGATTGTGTCAAGTGTGTTATCAAACTCGTACAAGTTATGAATGATATAGATCAGAGCTGCTGGACTTGCCTTGCGATGGTTAGGGTATCGCATGTTGCTTAGCCGTGCCATATCGTTGACCCATGCACTCGAGGAGTATTAGATAGGAAGCATGGTGGATGACAGCGTGTTAGGTTCTCACATCATTTGGTCAGGGGGAAGTGTTTATTCCACTAGTTTTAAGTTGTGACAAATTCAGTATTGATTTTTGAAATGTATTTGTGGTCATTATTGCTTTTGTGATTAATTGCTAGGTTGTTTAGCTATCGTTCGACTCGTTATATTTCGTATATTATCACTACAACAAAAATTATTTTTTGCAACGAATTTTTTTTATCGCTAAATTAAAAAAATCGTTGCCAATTGTTTTTTGCGACATTTTTTTTTCGTCGCGAGTTCGTCGCAATAGCCTCATCGTAGAAAGTATTTTGCGACGCAAATTTATTTTCGTCGCAAACAAAAATTTTTTGCTATGAATAAAAAACGTCGCTAAAATTTAAAAAGTCGCTAAAATCTATTCAACCAACGTAAAAAAATATTAAATCATAATTTAATTAATTTTTCGTGACGCACAAAAGTCTTTGCAAATAAATTTTTAAAATAAAAATATAAAAAAATAATAATGTATTTAATTTTTTGCAATGTAAAACAATTCGTCGCAAATACTTTTTTCATAAATAAAAAAATATTAAATCATAATTTAATTAATTTTTTGCAACCCAAAAAAATCGTTGCAAATAAATTTTTTTTTAAAAAATGTAAAAAAATTCGTCGCAAATACTTTCTTCATAATAATTTAATTAATTTTTCGTGACGTAAAAAATCGTCGCAAATAAATTTTTAATAAATAAAAAAAGTGAAATGTAATAATTTAATTAATTTTTTGCTACATTAAAAAACTGTCTCAAATAATTTTTTACATAAATAAAAATATAAAAAATAATTGAATAAATACATTTGCAACGTATAAAAATCGTTGCGAAAAAGATTGTTCCTATATTTTTTCACGACGATTTTAATTTTGTTGCAAAAAAATTCATTTTTTTAAATAATTTATAAAAAATGATATTTCAATAAAATTTTTCACCTATTCACCAATAATACCTGTGTTTAATAAAAAACCAACACAATTAATACATTTCATATATTTTTCATTCAACAACGAACACAAACTAACATCAAATACCATACTAACAAAAACATAAAATATAGTACACTTAATAAAAGTTATACAGAGCATCAAAATATCCAACAACATAATCTAATACAAATTTCCAAAAATATTTTAATACATAACCAAAAGATAATTTGTAAGTCACTTTAATATAGAAGTCCAGTATTCATCTGTTACAAAAAAATAAAAAAATACAGTAATAAATTATCAATCAAATTTTAAAAAGTATCATGGACGCACTATGCCTGGACTCCACCATGGGAACATCAGCTCCAATCAACATGGAAATATGCAGAACAAAAATTGGAAGTAGAACATAATCTTCACTGCCAGCTAACAACCTCTTTAGGAAAATGAACACAATTTGCTCTTTTAATAACTTCTGCGCTATATGAAAAACGGTAACAATGTGCAAAGGTCACTCCAATAGACAGAAAACAGAATAATTCAATACTAGGTCTGCTATATAGTATATATTCCTTCAAGAACACATTTTAAATAACTCGTTTAACAAAGAAACAAAACTTACATGTTCCCTCCTTCACAATATACTATAATGATGCACACATAGCAATCCTGAATATCATGACATCAACTTGTCAATGGCAAAGCAGAACAAGAATCGTTTAAACATAGATTTCTCAGAAGTTATGAGACACAAAACATCATACCAAACAAATTTAAAGCTTCAAAAAGAAACAAAAAACTTGAAAAAATGAAGCAAATTTAACTGATCTAGCAGAATATCAAGTAAACCCCTATCATCTTAGGTCCATATATAGATATGTTAGATTTGATGTGCCTAAAAGCAGGAGCTTCAAAAAACCATATAGTGCTAGTAAATGGAAGCATATGATTCAGTACTAAGCACAAAATAGATCATGGTTCTGCAGCAGATATGTATAGCTGCTGGATTATGAGATACTTAAGAATAAGTTTCGCATTTGGAAATGATCTATTTTCATTTTTCACAAGAAAATTCTGCAACACTAATTGAAAAGTTGCATACGGGAAATTCTCTTTGTCAGAATAAATAACTGAGAGCAACAATCATCAGCATCATCTCCCTCTTTACTATAAGCTATAGACTACAACTAACACAGGATTTTTTGGCTACACATAGGTTACAAACTTGCAAGTTGGTACAAACATCAATGATGCAGTTGGGAATGCAGGAGTTATTATCTCAGTCTTTCCACAGAGCTGTAGGGGTAACCAATGATGCATTTATGTTAAATGCATGGGAAACCTTAATTCGACCCATTTATATAGTTTCAAGCTAATTGTACTTGCTTTTACAAAAAGGGCATGGGTAATAAGGAATATTCATGAAAATATGTTCATATCAACCAATAAGAATGCAGCCATGCCAGTAATGTGGACTTATTCTAGATCAATGTGAATCCTTATGCATCTTGTACAACTCTATTTGCTAAGGCCTCAGCAACAAAGTTTGCCTCCCTATATACATGCTACAAAGTATACTGCATTCTGCTCAATAGTGCTTTAATTTGATCCAAAAGGACTAATAAAGGCCACGGACATTCCATCATACCCTTAATAGTCTTGACCAACACCAAAGAATCTGACTCAATATAGACTCTATAACCAAACAACCCAGTCCTATCAACCATACAAAGACCATCCACTAAAGCCTTAAATTCAGCTCCCATATTAGAGTCTACACCATACCAAAAAGAAGTAGCCAAAACCATTCCTCCCCACTCATTTCTATGTACTGCCCCTCCTCCAGCAGCACCAGAATTCCTTTTGGCAACGCCATCCACATTGAGTTTAAAAATACCAACACTAGGAGGAACCCAACACACCCACATAGCTTTAGTAAACATCATATGTGGCACAGTAATTCCCAACATATATGGTTTTCTTATGAATTTTTTGTGAGTAATCAGCTTCCAGCTGCTGTCAGACAGAGTTTGGTTTAGGATAAATGAGGGCTTCCTGTTCTGCGTTAAGCATTTTATGGTATTTGATGACAAAGATTGATTGGGTGATGGGAATATTGGTGCTGTTTTAGTTTGCAGTTGATGAGCTGAGCTTGGTTAAGCAGTTATACTGGGATAATGTCTGATATGTTGCAGTGCTATGGTCTGCTATGCTACGCAGTCTAATCTACTAATGTTGTGCTGGAGTTTTTGAAGCTGATGCCAAGGATGGAGATGGTTGTTGTATGAGAGTTAAAGTTGAACTGTGAGGAAGGATGTGGATGGCAGTCTTTCCAGCAGGGTCAAAAATGCAGCAGTTGTACATAAAATCTGTTTTGAATGTAATAGTTTTTTCTTGTTTTCTGTTAAAACAATTACTGTTTTTTCATTAAAACAGTTTATGTTTTGTTGATTCTTGTAATTTTGTGATTTAATCAATAAAACTTCTCTTTTCTTTAAAAAAATGTGAATCCCTATGCATCAATGTATGAAATAAAACCAATTCGTGGACAGCAGGCATCCATCCAGCATATTAATTATGGCCAAGTTTGAACTCTGCATCATTCCAAAATTTAACTAACAAGGACAGAGAGAGAAAAGCATCCACCAAAAAAATATTCTACAAAAAAGTAACTCATTTTGGGTATGAGCAGTAGTGGAATAAAGGGCAAGAAATATACCAGCAAGTCTAAAATGTTGAAAATATTCCCTGTATCATCATGCTCTTGAGCCAAGTCTAGAGCATACCTCCAATGTCCATCAACAATAAACCGGTAATGGTAAACACCCAATGGGAGCACTTTCATAATGATGAATTCTTTGCTCGATCTCTATAAGAACTCTCTGAGTGCAAGCAATCTAAGAAGATTAGTGTGGAAGGCAAACACAGTTTTCACAATAAGAAACTAGAAACTTGATCAAACAACATACTTTGTCTTCCAGTTATCCCACGATCCCTCAACAGCTACTTGCTTGCCACCATAATTCCAGGTGATCATTGTGGGAATTAACTTCTTAGAGAGTATACTTTCATGCTCTGTCGTCTTTTGATTCCATTCATCCCTTTGGATTTGCATCATCTCCTCGGGTCTTTGTAGAGGAACCATAGGGACCTAAATAAACTATACATACGTGAGCCTAAATGGCATCAAAAATATTGGTTTTGAAAAGAACTTGCAGGTACTTTCCAAATTACACAAGAGGACATGACCTCTCAAAGCAAGCATCCTTACAGGTACAATTGAACCTCAATTGTATCTCATGGTGCCATCAGCGGTGAAACTAATTTACCAAAAGAGTTTTTTTTTTCTCCGCTATAGCAACAAACACTATATCAATTAAGGACACTGTCCTCCCAAACTTCAAATATATATGTATTTATATCCAATCAATAAATGAGAAACAATACTCCATCACACCTAACCTCCCTACTTTTCTTTTCCAAGACAAATTATCAAACAAATGCCATAATTTACAAATTGAGAAACAATATTGAGGCAGGATAAACAATACTGCATAGGTGCTTCACGTTCTATTCTTAGAATCTGCAGCAAGTTCTATGTTACACACTAAAACAAAAATTTAGTGTTTGCAATTCAAAAAATTTAGCTGGATAATTCTCACACAGACAAAAATTATGAGCCTACAAACGTATTACTGAGAACACCAACTGAGACAAAAATCCATGAAACTAATAGAACACCAACTGTCTCAAAACGGGACTCAGGATGGAGTCCAATTAGACAGGGCAGCATCTTCATTCCCAATGGAAAAAAAAACCCATCTGTCCCCACTTGTCTAAATGCTAAAATGTAATATGTAAATGTAACACATTAACTCAAGATCACCATCATTTTCACTCAAGGTAAGACCACGCAATAGCATGCTGCCAAGAGAATAGATTACTAGAAGATTTAATTATGAGCAGCAGAAAATCCAAGCTTTTCTTACAAATCAAAGTTCAACCAAGAAGTTAATACATCACAAAAGCCCCCAATATTCCCTAACTCTACTACGTAAAATACCACATTAAAATGCAAGGAGAACAAACAAACCTTCCAAATGACATCTTCACATTCTCCTCAAGTGGACCATGTGTCATTGACTGTGGTTGAGGGATTAATGTGGATGCTAACATTGTTTGACCATCAGAATTTTTCTGCTTCAAATGAGGTGGATCAAGTAAGTGTGATTTGAAGACAATAGCAAAAGCAAAAGCAAAACGCAAAGAGTAAATAATCAATACATAACTTTTTTTGGTAGCAAGCAATTAATAAGCAATTGCCTATGTGGGAGAAATTCAACCCTGTGTTCGAGTGTAGACCATCTATGGATGCAGTTTAACTTTGTTTGATAGTGCTGATAAGCTTGTATGGAGACATTCTGCATCTGGTGATTTTGTTTTGAAAGATGCATGGAATGTGGTAAGGGTTCCAGGTATGGAGAATGAGGTTGCTAAAGTTATTTGGAGGATGAACACTACACCTAGTGCTAAACTGGTGAGTTGGAAGTTATTAATGAAGGCTTTACCTATGGATTCTAGAGTAAGGTTATGTGGGATTCCTTTGGTGAGTAGATGTGTAATGTGCTGTGAGGGAGAGGAGTGTGTAGTACAATTATTTGTGGAATGCAAGTATGCAAAAGCTCTTTGGAGTAGGTTTGCAAGTTTGGGGGGTTTCCAATTGATTAATGAGGAATTACCTCTAGTTAGAATGCAAAGGTTATGCAGAGTATTCAAGAGGGAAAATATTTGTTGTAGCTTGTTAAGAAGTCTTTCCTTATTGATTTTCTGGCAAATATGGATAGAAAGGTGTAAGAGGAGAGCTGAGGAAGGAAAGATTAATTCTTATTCTTTCTTTCTAAAAATTTGCAGCTTTCTCAGGTTGTAGGTCAGATTGATTAAACCTAAGGTGTTAGATAATGAAAGTGAGAAAATGGTGTTGAATTACTTAGGAATTATTGTGCCTTATGTGATGATCACCAAAGCTATTTGGGTTTATTGGTCCTGTCCAGGGTTTGGGGTGCTCAAGCTTAATGCTGATGGTGCTGCAAAGGGGAATCCTGGTGCAGTTGGAGGTGGAGCAGTTCTCAGGAATGAGTGGGGAGGATTGGTCTGTGCTGCTTCATTCTGGTATGGCATTGAGACTAATATGAGAGCTGAATTTATAGCTCTGTTGGATGGTCTTTGTATGATTGATAGGTGTGGTTTGCTTGGAGAGAGAATTTGCATTGAGTCAGACTCATTGGTGCTGGTTAAGACCGTTAAGGGTATGATGGATTGTGCCTGGCCTTTGCTAGGTTTTCTGGATTAGATTAAGGCCTTTTTGAATAGAATGCAATTTACTTTGGGGCATATATATAGAGAAGCCAACTCTGTTGCTGATGCCTCGGTAAATACTACTATTTAGAAGGGTAACTCTTCTGAGTTTGTCAACAATGCTCAGCTGCCAATTGCTGTCAGATAGTGTTTGATTCAAGATCAGAGGAATCTTCTTGTTCTACGCAGGAAGAGCTGTATGATTTTTGATGATAAGGGTTGAGTTGGATTGTGAAACAACTAATGTTGTGCTGTTATTGAGGTGCTGGTATGGGATTTTTAAGATGTCTTAGCTAAGGATCCTTACTACTGATTTGGAGTTGATTTGCAAGGAGCTGATTGCTAGTTGGTTCAAGCAGTGGTTTTGCTTCTGTTTACCTGCTAAGCTGTTGATAGGCAGTGCACCTAGTTTTTCAGCTGTTGCAGTAGGCGTACAGGTGGCAGTTCAACATTTTTGTTCTATTTTTCTGTAACTGCTTCTTTAACTAAATTTATGTTACAAAACATAAAATCTGGTTGTAAAAGTTTTTTGGTTTTCAGTTTTGTAAACACAGTTACTATTTTTTCTTAAAACAGTTTCTATTTGGATTCTTTTAATTTTGAGGTTTAATCAATAAATTCTCTTTCCTTTAAAAGAAAGACCATCTATGGAAATCCCAACAAAATCAAACAACTTGCTGATATATCAGATGAGTGATACCAACCTCACAAAAGCTCTTGAAAACCTAGTCAGTAGCTATGAATTCTTGCATGCTAGAAGTTCGCAATATGATTCGAAGAATAGAATTGAGAGCAGCCTCTATGTTTGGCTCCACCCCAAGAACTTTGCTTGCAAGGGCATCAAGATTTTTGGGGTGATTCACAATCAGGTTACCAATGCATCAAAGTGCCTAACATAGTCATGAAGACAATAAAGTATGTTATAAGTCAAAGTGAATTTAAAATTTTCCTTGGCAACTTATTTTGAGAGCTAATTCTGCAAGAAGTTTGTTTTGTCAAGAGACAACATATTGTGGTAGCTAAAACATCGTTTTGACTTTATGACACCTTCAAATGTAAAGCATAGGGATACCTCTCTACTTCAATAAAAAGAGTTGGATGCTATTACGCTATTATACACAATAAGGATGGACTCATTTGCATATACTCAGTTATATACTACATTAAAATCCATCATTGTTTTCCTTTAGTATATATGCAAGTGCTATCAAATTGTAATCTCTAAAAGAGAATTATAATTTCAAGAAATTCCAGTTAATAATACTTCAAATTTTGTTATCCAGAGAATATGGGGAATACAAAATTTATGTTGCCAAATTGTACATTGCAGAGAAGAGTGCTGCAGTTCAGATCATGCGATCTAGATCGAATATAGCCAGGCACTAGCATTTTTTTCAATAAATTGCATCCAATCTAAGTTTGCTTGCAACTTTTTCATAGGAATGTAAAAACCTACCCATCTCAAGAGTAGAGAGAAGCCACATAGTAAGTAGAAACTATCTCATGAAAAGCATCTAAAAGAAGTATATGCTATTTCAGTTTCAGATTCTAGCCATCTGATAAGCTCAAATAACGTTAGATCATCTTGATAAATATATGCAAAATAAATATCGATTTTGCACCAAGAAAACAATAAGATCACAAAGATCTCACCTCTTGACGAGCCAGTCAATGGATTTGCATTCCAAATTGCATTCTCCTCCAAACTCTTGTTCAACAATACGAAGACAAGTAAAACCAATGGTCAGAAAAAGAGAGCATTAAATAACAGAAGCTACTCCAAAATCAATAAATTAAGCATCAGAGTTACAACACGTGCAACAACACTTTCTGAATGGAACACAATCCTTATTCAGTAAATTGAGCATCAGAGTTGCAACATATACAATAGCACCTTCTGAAGGAACACAATCCTTTTTATCTGTTTTAAACACAATAAGCTTATCTAGGATTCCATTAGTGTATTATCAACACCCGACTCAATGACTGATTTACACAGTATTTCAAAAATACTCCACCAAGAACCAATCAATAACAAGAAAAAACTTAGGAAGTACACTAATTTCAAACACCCTGGAATCCTAAGTTAAAACTTCATTCTTACCTCTAGTCTATCTACTTCTTCTATAACACCAATTTTGAAGATCAAATCAGCTTCCTGTTTCTTCAAATTACAAACATTCTCTTAGATTGCAATGGGTTCATCATTTGTGATCTGTATCGAAAAAAATACAATCTCATCATAAAAAATATACACAAATAAAATATAAACCAACTTAACTATCAATCTAAATGCAGTGTACAAGGGGGAAAAGATTAGAGCCAAAACCCATTAAATTTAAGGTAACAAAACAACATCATCCACTAACACACCTTCCTAAATATTTACAGCTAGAGTGATTGAAAATAAAACCAAGTCAATAAAATTGACTAGAAGATAGAATTCACTAACTAGCTCTTCAACAAACACAGTCAAAAAAAATTAAACAAGATGCAATAAACCACTCACCCAATGCCTAAATTAACAAAGTGAAGATTTTAGAGAGAGACTCAATTGATAAAAATACCTTTATGGGAGAGATCTAAGCTTGTTTGCTCTAGACTTGGCAGTTGTTGTCCGAATTTGATATTGAAAATTTACGTGCAAGAATACAATATCAACAAGTTTTTAAGTGATAAGTAGAGTATCGTTCCCACAGATAAATATTGCTAGTAACTTTCAAGTACTAACTTTATATCAATTCAATTTTATTTAAACAATTGAAATTGAACTATGAAATAACTAAATTAAAACTAAATCTAAACTTAACAATCAAGGATTGAATTTACTGGATAAAAAAAGTTAAGATTACAACTTCCCCTAATGCTTCGTATAAACCTTTCTAACTCTTTTTCCAGTTAATTGATCAAAATAAGTTGTTAACTAAGAACTCAAAGTTATTTATCAAACCTCTTCCGATAGTTAGATAAAATTATCTATCCCAATTAAATTAGTATATTCCTATGCAAAATAAGTTGGAATAGATTTATTAAGTTCAAACTCTCATAAAAGTTACACACGACATATAGGTATATTCTTATCCTATACACAAACTCAGCTATTCAATCCTAAGAAGAATTAACCAAACGTATGTCATCATATTCAGATCTAAACCTAGAATTCATCTTCCAATTTCATCTAGGTTATCAAATTGATTGGTGGTCACACAATCATATATTAAGCACAAAATATGACAAACAACTTATGTATGATCAATAGAACTAAAAACGAGAGTAGATAAATTTAACTAGACATTAGGTTCCATTGCAATTTTAATAAGAATTTAGTTCATAATGTAATTGAAGAACATCATTCTAAAATTAAACATCTTAGAAAATCCAGAATTAAAAGTAAGAGAAAAGAATGAAAACTTAGTTGCAATCTTCAACCCTTCTCTAGCTTTCAAGTCCAATCTTCTTTGTGTCAATTCCTTTGATTCTTGTCTTTAATTTTCTTCTAATTCCTTGGTCTTTTTAGATGTTTCCAGCCCCTAAAAGTCAGAATATCTCATTCCCACACAAACCCTAGCATATATATAGCTTTAGAGTCTAATTTTGGGTAAAAAATAAGTCAAAATTCGGGTTACGGACCAACACAACTGCAGTTGCATCAAAAATCAGTGCAGGGGCACTGGTTGGACAGTATGTGGGTGCAGGGGCGCGCCCCTTCTTTTAGGCCTAAAATGCCCTTTGAGCTTCCTCTTCAAAAAAATCCAACATTTAGCTCCAAACTGACCTTGTTTCCTCCCAAATGACCATAATTCCTTCCAAATTATCATCCCTACAAAATAACATCAAAACACACAAAATAAATAAAAATGAACATAAAATAATTGAAAACTTACAATTTCATCAAACCGAAAATACTCAATTCATAGGTATAAAACCCACTCATCAGCAATATAGCTGATGTGCCATTGAGGGATGCAACTACAGTCACCATGACTCATCTATGGAAAATTTTTGCTCAACATACCCAAGAAGCTTCATATGAATTTCACTCATATAAATAGGACAAAAGAGATGTCATCTTGTAGAACTTTGCAAGCCAAACTTGGCTCCAAATATCTACTTATTGGGCCGGAGCGGCTCTGCTTCAAATATGCGTATATTTGCATGTGTAGAAACTATGTCAAACTCGAACTGAGCAACATCACCAGTACAACAACATCACCATAATGAAGCTTTATTACAAGTGGAATACTAGCCAAAACATAAAAGGTGTGCATTGCTTGAAATTGCAAATCAAACAGCATAATATGTAGCAATTGAAGTAAAAATAAAATATTTTATGCTTTACCTATCTTCACTTAAAGCTGAATTTTCTATTGTGGTTGGCTGATCTGTGGCAGTGACTTGCTGTTAGTCTGGCCTGTGCTATGTTGTTAGTTAGTAGCTGATCCAGTAATGCAGTAAAATTGGATTGATCCTCTTGAAGGATTAAAGTCAACTTATCTTTTTTGCAGATTTTGAGTGGTACTGTGAAGCCGTCATGTTGTGTAGTGCAGTCTATGCAGTTTGATGTAATTTGTTGAGGAAAGTTGGACTCTGTTTAGATGTGTTGATGCATGCAGTGGGGATGTGAGCTGAATGTGGTGATCTGTCATTCCTAGTAGTCTGATTTTGACTCAGGTGCTGTCCAGGGTGCTTTGAGGGCTGGATGTTGTATTCTGTGCAGCATCAGTTTAAAGACAGGAGCTGAGCTGTGAGCAAAGGGACAGAAGCTGAGCTAGGATGACATTATGCAGTTAATGTACAGGAATTTTTAATTGTTCTTGGAACAGTTTTCAGTTTTGATAAAACAGTTACTGTTTTTGCTTGTACACAGTTTCCGTTCTTGCTTCTTGTAATTCTTGAAATTCATTCAATAAAATTCTTCTTTTCCCAAAAAAAAAAAGTATAGATTTTACCAGAGTATATTTCCAACAATTACTACAGCTAAAAATGGTAAACTGATAAAAGAAAGTACCTGATATTTAGATACCAAGTCCATTTTGCGAAGTATCACAACACCTGTTGATTTGAGTTTGATCTTGAGCCAACTAGCATTAGCATGTATGAAAAGGTTTCTAAGTAGTAAACAGATGAGCAAAGCATTTTCAAAACCAAAACTAACAGCCTGCCAATGCCTTTATCATAAAAAACCACTAAAAACGGCAAACACCTCAAATCACATATTAAAACAACAATCACACATCAAAACAAGATGGAATCATAAAATATTTAAATACATAACCAAAAAAATAATTCGTCAGCCACTTTAATGCAGAAGTTTAGAATTCATTTGTTACAAAAAAGAAAAAAATTACATTAATGAATTATCAATCAAATTTTTCAAAAACATACAGGTTTCCTAATTCTTAAGTGTTGAAATTTTTAGTTTTTTCTTAAGCTCTCAACCCGTCCCTAAATAAGATGTCTTTTCCTACAAATTTATATATCCAAATAGTTCTTCTTCGTCCGTTTTCAAGGTGAACATAGTTGAAACGGGCCGATTGACACCCTTAACTCCAAGTTTTATGTTCTCTAATTCTTTAGTATTGAATTTTATAGCTTTCGTCAAACTCTCAACTCGGGTCTCAGAATGAGAGACCGTCTTTTCCTGCAAGTGTCTGTGCCCAAATAGTTGCTCTCCGTTCGCTTTCATGACAAACGGAGTGGAAACAAGCCGATTGGCCCACTTAGCTCCAAGTTTTAGTTTTTATACTTCTTAAGTGTTGAACTTAAAACAATAGTAAAAAGATACTAACTAAAACTCAAGTGGCATGTCTGTCTTAGTTGAGTTGCCCTATAGAGCACGCAGCATTTGAAGTTGCATCTGCAAAAGTTGATGCATCATCTGTTGCTGCGCGTCTTCAAACTTTTGTTGCGCGTCTTCAAACTTCTCTAGCTTCTCTTTCATTTCATCACGTTCCTTCTGAAGAGCATCAACAGTTGCTTGCAACTCTTTTATCATATCAGCTTGTTCTCGATACTCAACAGTGGATCTGAATGACTGACTATAGGATGAAGGCTTCGGGCCATGTTCAAATCCTTTCTTATATCCAAGCCGGTTGCCAAGGATTGTGCATGCAATTTCATCCTGTGTTAATGGCTCTACACCCTCTTCTAAGTCCTGTATGGCCAATTCTTTCATCCGCTCCTACAATTTAATATATTTAAACTCAATTATTGAGTGTATCATAAAAATTTATTTTTAAAAAAAACATAATTTTCTGCAATTTGAAATACTTACATAACTTGACTCTTCCTCAGCAGAAACCCACTCACCCTTCTTCTTCACATGAGAATCATGAAAAAAATCAACAATGTGGGGTGGCCCATCAGTCATAGGGTCCCTCTATTACAGTTAATCAAAATATCAATATTCAATTTTATGAAGTTCCTATATATTAAAATTTAGGAAGTAAATGCTAAAGTATAACACCCTTTCATATAAGGAAGACTGAAAGGACTTTGAAACCACGAATGGTTGTGTGGCAGTTTAGCAAGATTTTCTGCATATTTTTTAGATTTTTCCTATATACAAATAATATAATTAGTACACAATTGGGAATAAAAAGTGGATATTAATTTGCATAGCTTATAAAAGTTACCTGAAATTTTGGATCCTCGTAAAGTGTTTCAATTATGTACTCTCAATCCTCCTAACTAACATCACCATACGGCTTGCTCTTTGGGTCAACACCGGACTAAACCAAATCCTTGTAATGCATATGCATATAGTATCGGTGGTCCCTGTACCTCGCAGCAAATTTTTTGTCGATGGCCTTCCTAACACCAACTTTTCACGATAGTCTCTAATGTTAAACTTTGTCTAAAACACAATATAAATATACAAACTAATTAAAGCATGTTGTAACACTCTACACAAATAAATATGTTGTTGAAACGAAACAAATATATCCACTAACCAACAATCGTGCAATGAGAGGTGCCTTCTCCTCTTTTGTTTTGTTTGCTTCCATTTGTGCATATTTCTAATAGGGCAAACGTCCTTGCCAGGGAGTCAATCTCTGTCATCACCTTCGAAGAATGTACACCCACTGGAACGCTGACTCCATCAGGAATCAAAACATTAAGGGGGTCGTGAGCTACACGAATACGCTCAGCATTTTTCCCTCT